TCTTCTGACATAAAAAGACCTTTGGTTTAATAAGTTATTAAGATGTTTTCAACAATATTACTAGGGCGTTCACCGATTCTAACATGGGCGACCCTTTTGGAAACGCAACACATGGGTTGACCTGATTGATATATGGGTCAGATTCCATTAAGGTTCGGAACAATAACACACTCGCCTGGCACTTCGCGTATCTATTCCAGTTTAGTCCATGTACAGTACCATTCATTTGTATACAATTTATGTAATTTTACAGTTTCCTGCAATATATATATTATACATACATACATTATACGCAAGAAGGTTATTTTACAAATTATATATTTTGTAACTTGACCTAACAATAAGGAATTTGATAATTAAAAAATGTTGAAGTAGCCGTGATTGGTGTAACTAGGGCACGTACAACAGGAAATGCCTTTTCATCCACAGGAATATAAACCCATGGAACCACCTACCCGCCAAAGGCGTAAATGCCTCTGTTACACTTTAAATTCCACCTGGGGAAATAAATGATGGGGACTGGTCAAGTCGTATACTGCAATTTCGGATACCGGGCTAGAAACAACTTCGTTCACTGAGAAGTTTGTACATACAAACCATTCCGTTCGTATATGCGCTGGTTTGTGTTCGCTGTTGTTCTCGTCTGAATAAATATATGGCACTTGTTCATATAATTAGCGCTTCCATTATTAGAATTATTTATCCATTATAGTTAACGAATGGATTGTATTAAGCAGTGATGTGGTGGAGGCTGACTCCATACACAATTTCAAATGTAGATGTGATAGAGCCCAATAGGCTCAGGAACCTGTACACCTGTTGATTGACGGTTGAGAGTCGGGACCAAAGAATCAAAGCTCAACCCCTGCAAGCACAAATTAGGTGAATACAGCTGAGGGGCGGGACCAAACAGCTGAAGCTCAATTCCCTACGCATAACTAGGCGAGTCCATAGGAATTACCGTTTGTCCTGGCGCCATCTATGTTTTGACAGCAGTACTATTAATGTTCCCACGTTATGTGCTGATCGCTATACGGGTGTTACGGTCAGTTGCTCTTCTATATATGTTTATGGACAACGTAGGTGATTTGAGGCAATTTGCGGCCAGAGTGAAATAGTATCCACGCGGTGAGTGATGGAGGAGGATATATACTGCTGTGTACTCGACCAGCGGGTGAGAGGCAAGTTATATCGAACAATTATGGGGAATAGATGGGTTATTTTAAGCATAGAATGTCAGGTAACTACACAGATGGGGTAGTGTTTTTTTAAGTGTTTATTTACTAAAGTGGAACATTACATTATGTCTTTAGCTGAACAAGTCTACTGGTGGGGGAAGTAGACGGGTTTTATGAAGATATTTTACCTAAATATTTGTATTTGGTTAACTAGTTCAGCCGTTACCAGGGAGGGTGTTACTTTAATCTAATCTAAAAATTCTAGCCGGACAGTGATTAAATAAAGAAATTGAATAGAACGAAGTGGTTTGCCAGGGTGCTTAACATTTAGTTTAGTTCACTTACTATGCAGCCTATGCTTAAAGAATGCAAGTTTATCATATAGCATTTACCGTAGTTTTACTGCATTTAATATACAGTTTTTACCCTATTTAATTGTCGGGTAAAGGCCGGTCGTGGAAAGTTCCTAATATAGCAAGTTTTAAAGGAAAAGTTTGAGTTAACTTTAACGCTTAAGTTAGTGACCAATTAGCTTCGTCTATTGTGAGGAAAGTTACTAGAATCTAACATTGCAAGTGCCATTTCTCTACTCTTTTTGAGAAACATGACTGATACATGAATCGCATAGTTTTATTACTAAATGTTCATGGATTAGGTTGCATAGTTGAGGAAATGGTGATAAGGTTTGTGATTTTGTGTACCTTGAGTTCAGCAGAGATTTTGATAGTGGCGCAAAATTGATAGGGGCTCGGATCATTATTATTATTATTAACATCTTTATTGACAAAATTAATTACAATTTTGCCTAATCTGAGGATTTTGATAGTCTTATTAAATTGAGGATAATGCTAGTATTCACTGTCACGCAGGACAGAGGGTCATACATAAGACAATAGGCCTAAACTGTAGGCTGAAGCACATATATATCACGGTTACAATCAATGTTTTAATGTGTGGATATGTGAAAACAACTTTCTATTGTGCACTGCCACACAAGTGCAGGGATGGGTTCATAAGTGATACAGCTTAGAATATAAGTAGAAATTGTTCTTCATTCTTTAAAATGGACAAGCAAATTTTGGGTAAATTGTTAGGATGTCGTCCAGAACACCTGAGTCAATAAAATAGTTACACAGTTGGTGGTACAATAGGCCAGGAGGTCTAAAGTCCTTTACGGTTTCACATTCATCAATATAGTGTTCTAGTGAATGCATTAAAGGTTTATCACAGAGTTTACAATCTGAATATTCTGGTAGTGGCTCAGCCTCACTAACCTGCCAGATGTGTCTATAGCCAAGGCGAATTCGCGCGATTACTACATCACATTGCCTGGTCCGGTTACTGTGCTGACCATACAAATACCTATTATTACAGAACTTGTCATAACTTTTAATACTGCAGCTTTCAGGTCTCTGTGCATTTCTTAGTTCTTCTAAATCTGAATTAATTTCTTTAATTGGCTCGGATCATTGGGAATGCTGACTGAAGTTGATTAGGTCATGGGTATACCAAAGGAAATTAGTATAAATGGGGTTAAGTTGGGAGAAGTGTTGTAAGTAGTGCCTAAAAGGTCTCCTTGGACCTCGGTTATTCGCAAGATTATGGTTTAGACTGGAATAGTTGCAGAATTGGCAAATAAAAAATACCGATGCCCTATATAGTTTTGAAGTGGTTAAGACTACCAGATGCAGTTTAATGCTGACAAATGTAAGGTTTGGGGGCTAGGTAAAGATGAGATACATGTTGTAGATTAAGAGTATTAAATTTTTTGCAGGTGGTAAATTCTCCCCGAGCTGGCACTGCTCTCCAGCCTGGGATGTTGATTGGTTAGTCTTCAACTGCCTCCCAACATGGTAGTGAGGAACGTGGAAAGCTTCCTGAATTGACACATGGTATGCCTCCCTTTCAAACCAGCAGCTGGCACAAATGTTCCAGCTAACATCAGAATAGTGGATGAAGCCCACACTAAAATGTAAGTGGTACAGTAAATGGACACCCCCCCCTCCCTTTTGACACTGAACAGTTGGGAGGAAGTGTGGCTTAGTTCTATTGCTACAGAATCTTTTGCCATAAGCCAGTGCCTATTCTTGCAAAAGTATAATAATTTGTATATATATTTTGTATTGCTTTTATTAAAATGTTGTTAAATTAAAGTTTGTTTGCAATGTTCCAGAAAAATGTTCATGACTAAAGCTTCGTTTGTAATTAATAGATAGGACAACAAGATACTTAGTGTGCCATTTAAAACGGCAACTGTTCAACTGGTGGTACAGGTATGAACAAAATGACATCGCTATGCAAATAACTTTTTAGTAATATTTACTGTTCACATGACAGGTTGTGGAAGGTCCTGGCAACAAAGAGCTACAGGAAAATACTTGCAGATCTACAGTAAGTAGTGTTGTGTACATTGGAATTGGAGGGTAGAAGTTAATTGCTAAAAACCTATTAAATATTAGGGTATGGAAGTCTAGGCTTAGGCTAGTGGGGTACCATATCTGCAAGTTTAGTCCTTTCAGGAATGTATTGAATAGAATGGTATGTTGAAATTGTGAAAATTGTAATGTGGGGCATTAGATCTTAAACAGCATAGTTGAGGGTGTTTTATTAATTTTAATGAAATATAAATTTTTAGTTAATTAACATTAAATGTATGTTAAATAAGCTTTAATCTATAAATGTCTAACACTGTTAAGGGTAATCATGAGTCAAATAAAGTTAATGGCAGGAAAAGTTTTGTTCTAAGTGATGGTATTTTTCCCTTGAAAGTAAAAAAAAAAAAAATATTCAATGTTTACTTTAGCTTGGTTTTAAATTTATAGTTTTCCAGAATTCCCTGTCACTTGCTTAAACAGAATCAGGTGTTGTAGTAAAGGTTAATCTGAATAGATTTGCATAAAAGTAAACAAATTAGTAATAACTTAAACAATATAGCATTGGCTAAAGATAAATGTAAATTGCCATTGAAGTGCAGTTGTGGATAGTTTCTCAAAGGACATTTACTGAAACTTGGCAAATTGATGCCATATATATTTATATTGCTAAATTAGATCTTTACTACTGATACTAGAATATGTAGGAAAGGTAAATTCCTTAAAGAAAATTTTTCCATCTGAATTTGTAAAGTACTGAATGCTAATTTGAAAAGTAAAGCAAGATTGGCTTTAAATCTGAAATTAATTTGTTGAAATATTTTTCAGGTGAAAGTGATTATGATGCATGGACTGGCTTGGAGTGAGGCTCCTTTACTCTGCAAAATGAAATCTACAAAAGTGGGCGAGTTTGAATTTGATTTAGCTATATCAATGACCTAATCTGAATTCTCTTATCTAGTCCATTTATAGGTGTGTAACCATGTCCTACTGTTACAACCCACAGGGGATGATGCAGTTTGTACTGATCCTACCCCATTTCCTAAAAGGGGACCAGGCAGTCCTGCAGATTTCTCTGGCTTGGCTTTTTCAGAGCTTTGCTCTACTACCCATCTAATAGATGGACTAGATTTGCATAGGTTTAGGGACCCTTAACAATGGTTACATTGTTAATTCTCACAGGGCTTGTTTGCATCTAAAACTTTAGTCTGGCATGCATTGTACAGTGCTTTCAGTAAAGCATCTGTACAATGTGTTGATGGCACTAAAGTGGTGGATGTAATGCACCCATTCAGGGAACAAGCTCTGCACTAACATCAGAGGAAGGGATTGGCCTTGCTGACCCAATGTTAAAAGATTGGGTGTTAGGATTTTTTTGGCTTATTATTAGGCATTGGTGATAATAAGTGTCCCTGTTTAATGTTTATTTTTCTTTTACAGGTGATTGGCTCTGGAGTTGTCTTGGCCTTTTGGATCTTCTGTTCATCTAGGAGCATCTGTCCCACAACCTGAAACAGTTCATATAAATGTTTGTAACAGAATTTCATAATTGAAAGTAAAAAAAGTTACAACACAAATAACTGGTAACTGTACTTCATCTAATTGTAATATATAATTGAAGTTTAAATATGCTTTTTCTTTCAGACTATAGATTAGGAAGTCCAGAACATCCTAGAGTTTGAAGGTGGTGTTTGCTCGACATTCAGAATCGGGTGAGTGTGGTAGTAATGATAAATTAAAGATTTGCATTATATAGTAAAGTTAAACAATGTAGCATTGTCTGAAGTATCTTTCTCCACTTAATTGTACTAAAGAAACTTAACTTGAATAGCCATATCTACCTTTTTAATTGCTTGATTAGCATTAATAAAATTTAAAATTTTAGCCAATTTTAAAGGAACACTACCATTGTGAATTTGCAAAAAACTAGAGTAAAAAGCTGTATTTATAAGCTAATTTGGTTAAATGTTTCAGGTACTTTGCTAGATTACAATGGTATCAAAGCAGCGAGTGGCTGTTCTACTCTGCACATCTATGAAGCTGGTATGTTGAATTACATGTTTTAGCTATGTAAATTGTATTACCAATATGGGGATGCAGGGGTGGGGGAATACCAACTTTAAATTATAATTGAAAATAAGATTTCAGTATGCTACTTTTTAAATTGTTACCAAATTGTTACTAAAAGGGCTTTTTTCTAGAATCAATAAATGAAAGATGGGGTGGGGGAAGTAGGTAAATAGTGTATTTTGAAAAAGGCAAATATTTAAGTTTAAACATTGCTGTGGGGAAAATTTTTATTAACCATATTAAATGTTTCATTGACAGGTTGTGGAGGGTGCTTCCAACATAACTTCAGGAACAGTGTACAGAAAAATTGGAACTTGTATGCTACAGAAAGTAGCACAGGGGCTGGCCAGCTGAGCAGACAGCACACTGGAGATGTGATCCTGTGGTCCCAGGTTGAATCCTGGCAAGAAATGGTGGGCCGAGTTTTTCACCCTATGCCCCTGTGAGTTAGTCAGCTGTAATGGGCTGCTTTGTGGGGGGACTAAAGGCCTGAAATTGCAAAGATACTTTTGCCCTCTATCATTAGTTTAATAAGTAGTATTTAAATAGTGAAGGGGCCTGGAAATGGGGGATAAAAACTGTAGTTCTAGGCCTTGATAAGTGGGTACAATAAAAGTTTAGTCCTTGCAGGAATTGTTTTGAATAGCAAAGAAAATTTAAAATGGTAATGTTACACTTTATTCAATTTAAGAATTGAGGGTATTTAGAATGTTTATTTAAATGGTAATTGGTTTGCTTAACTTTGTTCAGTTACTTGGTTCTAAAATAATTGGCTAAAAGTTTTTCCATCTATAAATTGCACACACAATAGTGTGATGCATCAAATGACCAAATCCACAAGGGCTGTGATGAGGGGTCAAATGTCCCATGACATTTAAAAAAAAATTGCAACAGGGAGGTAAATTGACCTCATGGATTTGTTCATAATTAAAAGTTAAAAAAAAAATAATGGTACAAGAGACAAATTAAATATTGACTAGTAACTGTACTTCATATTTTTGTAATGTAACTAGTTTAAATAGGCTTTTTCTTTCAGAATAACAATTGGGAAGTCCAGCTGTTCATCCTAGAGTTTGAAGGTGTTGATTGCTTGACATTCAGAATGGGGTTAGTGTTTGTGAATATTTTAAATAGAAAAATAAGTAAGGCATCAGTGGTTGCATGTAGATAATGTAAAGTAAAAATTCTTTCTGTACTTTAAAGTACTTGTTAAACTTAAATAGTCATATCTAAGTCTTGTGCTTGATTAGCATTAGTGAGAAAATGTTAAGGCACATTAGCCATTTGAGTTTGCAAAGCAACTTTTAATACAAAATTTATAAGCTAATTTGGTTAAATGTTTCAGGTGGTAATGGAGATTATGATATCAAGGAATTGACTGGCTTAAGAAGTGTAGCTGTTCTACTCTGCACATCCAATAAACTGGTATGTTGAATTAAATGTTTTAGCTATATCAAATAATTAACTTGGTTTCTTTTTTATCTAGTCCATTTATAGATGTGTACCAAAGTCCTACTGTTACCACCTGCAGGGATTGATGCAGTTTGTACTGATCCTACCCCATTTCATAGAAGGGGACCAGGCAGTCCTGCAGATTTCCCTGGCTTGGCTTTTTCAGAGCCCTGCTCTACTACCCATCCAATAGATGGACTAGAATTGCATAGGTGTAGGGACCCTTAACAATGTGCAAACATTGTTAATAACTACAGGGCTTGTTCACTGAAAGAGTGGATACATCCAGAGGTTTAGTGCCTGGAACATGATGTACATAGGCTTTACAAGAAGCCTATGTACATCATGTTGAGGGCATGGAACCAAAAGATGTGTTCCACTCTTTCAGCCAACAAGTCCTGCCTCAAAATGCAAATAAGGGGTAGGCCTTGCTGAGCCAATCTTAAAAGATTGGGACTTAGGGGTTTTGGTAGTAATTTGTATGTGTTAGTGTTAATAAAATGAGTGTCCCTGTTTGATATACTTTATTTTTCTTTTACAGGTGGTTGTTGTCCTTGGTACTCTGGATGTTTTCCTGGCCTTTGAAGTTGTTTGGAGTCTTCAGTTGAAACCTCAACCTGAAACAAATTTGTCAACATTAGTTATATTGTATACTATTTAATAAATCTTTTAATGAAAATACTTTATATACTTTATCCTGAAAGTAGCTATAATTTAATCATGCTGGAAATGAATATTACAAACAATATCTAAAAGTTTATATAAAACTATAATAAACAAAGGTATAATACAAAATATAAAGCTAATATAAACTTATAGCTTTATATAATTAAACTTATAAACTTAAGTATATATAACCAAGTTATAATAAACTTGTTAAACTTTATTATATAACACTTAGGTTTATATTATAGCTTTATATAATTAACAAATTTAAGTGTTATAACAGTTGTTAAACTTTATTATAAGTATATTATAACTTAAGTTTAATTATTAAGCTTTAATAAAACTATAGGTAAGTTTTATAAGCTAATATAACTTTAAGTAACAAGTTATATATAAAAAGGTAATATTATACCTTTTTAAGCAACATTTTATAGGTGAAAACTAATTTTGACAACTTAAAAGCTTTGCATACCAAACTACTCATTTTTATAGTTATCAGGTTAAACTGCAAAAGATAAATTTTACCCATTATTTTAATAGTTAATTTAATCTAACAAATTTCACTTTTAACAAATGTATAGACTAAAGTTAAAGCTATGGAACATATTGATTAGTGGAAATGATGTAAAGATTTACATCAATGATAAGATTAAACTAAATTAGCTAAATTTTTTTCCCCACAAGTGTCACAACTTGATAGGAAACATGAAAGTGTTTCCTAACAATATTGTCTAATGGTACCAAACCCTTCAATTTTCTACGAGTCTAAGAAGAAAAGAAACAAAACCATTAGACATGTCCAATCTGTTAATATAATGATGCACTGAAGTGTCCTACCAAATATTAGTAATGAACACTAAATTATTCACACCAGACATCCCATTACCACAAATGTTTCAAACTGCTGAAGATAACTATTTCAAGATAGTGTATATATAAACTATCTGCCTATAACAGCACCATAAATGGGAAGAGCCTTACAAACTAACATTCAAAAAAACTTCAAATACCTGGAATTCAATCCAAGCTATTAAATGAATTGACAGCCAAACTTACTGCCACTTAAACTCGCTACATAGATTTCAAATGTTACTCAAATTTTTGAAACTGCCAAGCAGAAAACTTTCAAATTACTTTGACCTCACATCTGCAAGGTCCTGAAGGAAAGAAACATTAATATTCTTGTAAAATCAACAAAACATTGGTTTGTTAAAAACAAACCTGTTCACAATTTTTTTCTGATAACCAGCTATTCAAACACACACACTGTGTTTGATAAAGCACCATATCAAAGGCTAGGAGTGAAATATGAAGCACATGGAATAAAGGATAAAAAGATTGCTTAATTAAAACAAATAAATTAAAGCTTCCTCTGAAACAGATTTGACTGGAAAATACGGCATGAAGCGTACCACAAGGGTCTAAACCTTATATACCTCAATGACAAATCAAATTATTACAAACCACATCAATTTTGCAGATGACACCAAGATTTATGGTATAGGGAACTTGAAAAATTGATATCGAGCCCTTACAAAGATCTACGGGAACTCTAAAAATGGTTACAAGACTGGCAAATTCTTATTATTATATACAGTATTTAACATTGCAAAACCTTACAGGTGAGCCAGAACAATCCATATCACAACTACCACATTAAAATGAAGAAGAACAATGAAATAAAGCACCTTTGAGCTAGATTCCGTCATTAACCAAAAGTTGCTCCAGTAAAAAACAAAAAACCCTAGAATTAATCAAGCTACCTTTTGACTTTAACGAAAAGAAGGTAATTATTCTAATGTCCAAACATTTATACACAACATATCTATAATCACTTAGATAATTGAAGCCAAGCATGGAGACCCCCCACCTTCTTTACAAAAACACATCTACTTTCAAACAACTTCAACACTGGCCAACAAAAATATTTCTAAAACTAAGTCAACTAATAACAGGAACAACCGAGAGCCACGACAAACACTCCAACTCTCTCCTACACCAAACTCTTATGCTATTAATGATCCAAATTATTTTGATATACGTCCTACAGACGAGTCCAGAGATAGGACGATCTGGCGAGTAAACTGAAGCGCGATACAGGTGTCAACGGACATCAGTCAGCCCACTTGTCACCACAGGGGATAAACTAATAACATTATAACCTGCAATTTTGTATGACTCCTTGTGGCCATTTAAATCAATAAAACCCAGGGTTGTGGCAATGTTTTAGCATAAGGTAAGGCATACAGGAATGCCTGGTAATGTCTAGTCCTTGTATGTGCTTTAGGCAACCAAACTGAATAACAACATTGCTCGTGTTAGACTATTTTATCCGAGTTTCTTATTCGGTACAACCTTTTAAACCCAAATAGGAATGCGCTTTAAAGATCCATTTATTTGGAGATTCTACTTACCACAATCTAAATTACCGGTCTCTGAAAGTACTATGAGATAAGTTTAACTAGATGAGTGTTTGCCTATCCACACCCACATGAGGAATGTGACAACACTGAATAAAGAAAGGGGCTTTGAGCATTCAGCATGTAGTGAAACCACGTGGGACCCTAATACCAAACACAACACTTAGGGGTACCCAAACACTGGCAAAATACTATCCCCAGGTCTCACCAATCGTTACTACCAGAGTAGGCACACTCACTAATGCCCTGTACTTAGCTTAAGGATACAGGAACTTCAGGTAAGGGAAATAAGTAAGAGGAGAAGGAAGGAGAGTAGGGATACAGCCACAGAGTAGGTCTTAACCTCACGCCACCAGCCAAGAGAAGAGCGAGCTCCTCGCGACCACCTGGCCTCCCTCATGTCGTGGTGCCGGAAGGAGCCTAATTGATCGTGCAGCTAAGCACATTAAAGATCTTCCCCTATGCAACGTATTGTTACTTTATGAATGATTAGAAAGTATTAGTAAGCAAAGTTGGTGCCTATGTTATTATTTAATAATCAACCCCCAGCTCAGTCTTTAAATGCTCTTTGAGAAACAATAATAGTCTTACGTCTGGCAGGGAAGATACAAACAATTCCATTCGAAATGCGCCAACTGTACTACTTAGGAAGTTTAATAGCTCAATTTTGACCTCTGGTTTCCACTGGAGAACCCAGGGTCGTAACAGCATGCAACAATTTGACATGACATAACCAATATAGCCAGGTCATACCTACCCCTCCTACATACCCCCTAACTCCTTCCCCCAATCCCATCACTCCTGCCCTCCCTTCTACGCCCCTCACTCCTACCCTCCCTCCTGCCCCCTCAATCCTCCCTCCTACCCCCTCAATATGCCCCTCCTACCCCCATCACTTTTGCCCTTTCTCCTACCCCCCTCACTCCTCCCCCCTACCCCCTACCTCTCTCCTACCACCTCCCTCCTCACTCCTCGCCTCCTGCCCCCTCACTCTTACCCCATCAATCCAGCCCTCCTTCTACCCCCTCACTCTTACCCCATCAATCCAGCCCTTCCTTCTACCCCCTCACTCCAGCCCTCCCTCCAATCCCTTCACTCCTGCCCTTGCTCCTCCCCCTTCCTCCTACCCCCTCACTTCCTCCTGCCCCCTCCCTCCTACCCTCTCATTTCTCCCTCCTACCCCCTCCCTCCTTTCCCCTCCATCCTGCCCCTCCCTCCTACTCCCTCACTCTTCAATACCCCCTCATTCCTCCTCCCATTCACTCGTACCCCCCCCTCACTACTACCCCCTTGCTATTCCTCCCCCCTAACTCCTCCTCCCCTTTCACTATTCCTCCCTACCCTCACTCTTCACCCTCATTCCCCCTTCCCTCCTCACTCCCCCTTCCCTCCTCACTCTTCCTTCCCTCCTCACTCTTCCTTCCCTCCTCACTCTTCATTCGCCCCTCTTCATTCGCCCCTCACTCCTCCTTTCCCCTTCACTCCTCCCCCCCCTCATTCCTCCTTCCCCCCTCACTCCTCCCACCCTCTCCGTCACTCCTCCTTCCCCCCTCACTCCTCCTTTTACTCCATCCCCGCTCATTCCTTCCCCTCCCTTCCCCCTCCCTCTTACCCCTCACTCTTGCCCATCCTTCTCCTTCTTCCCTCCCTCTACCGTTCTTCCTGCCTCTCCACTTCTCCCTCCTACCCCCTTCACTCCTCCCCCTCACTACTCTTCCCCATCAATCCTCCCCCTCACTAATCCTTCTCCTCACTCTTCCTTCCCACCTCACTCCTCTACCCCTTCTCTCCTCTACCCTCCTCACTCCTCTACCCTCCTCACTCCTCTACCCTCCTCACTCCTCTACCCTCCTCACTCCTCTACCCTCCTCACTCCTCAACCCTCCTAACTCCTCTACCCTCCTCACTCCTCTACCCTCCTCACTCCTCTACCCTCCTCACTCCTTCTACCCTCCTCACTCCTCTACCCTCCTCACTCCTCTACCCTCCTCACTCCTCTACCCTCCTCACTCCTCTACCCTCCCTCCTACCCCCTCACTTCTACCCCTCACTCCTTCCCTCACTTCTACCCCCTCACTCCTACCCCCTCCCTCCTACCCCCTCACTCCTACCCTCCCTCCTACCCCCTCACCCCCTACCCTCCCTACTACCTCCTCACTCCTACCCTCTCTCCTACCCCCTCACTCCTTCCCTCCCTCCTACCCCCTCACTTCTTCCCTCCCTCCTACCCCCTCACTCCTACCCCCCCTACTACCCCCTCACTCCTTCCCTCACTTCTACACCCTCACTCCTGCCCTCCCTCCTACCCCCTCACTCCTACCCTCCTTCCTACCCCCTCACTCCTACCCTCCCTCCTACCCCCTCACTGCTTCCCTCCCTCCTACCCCCTCACTTCTGCCCTCCCTCCTACCCCTCACTTCTACCCCCTCACTCCTACCCCTCCCTCCTACCCCCTCACTCCTACCCTCCCTCCTACCCTCTCACTCCTACCCTCCCTCCTACCCCTTCACTCCTACCCTCCCTCCTACCCCTCACTGCTTCCCTCCCTCCTACCCCTCACTCCTACCCTCTCTCCTACCCCCTCACTCCTTCC